AACATAAAACAGTCTCATCAAATTTCTGTTGTTTCTTGTATAACAGCTAGAACCCTTACCTCATTTATTTTTACCCATTTTCTAAATCTGATCCATGATATGCTATTTTGACCACATAATTACATCTTAAAATATATCACTCTAGCTGGACAGGATGGTACATGCCTGTAATCACAACATCTGAGAGGTGGAGGCAAAACAATCATGAGTTCAAAGTCAGACTCAGCTACATAGCAAGTTCAAGACTAGCCTGGGCTACATGAGCCCTTGTCTCAAAGATCAACAAACTTTACTCTACCTGGCCTATGGAACAGATCACGGGAAAGTAAGAATTATAAACAGGAAATCTAAAGAAGAGTCTATTCATAGTGTATGGAGTTGGATGGTGGTAGTAAAACTGGAAATAAATGAGCAGATTCAGCATGTGTTTTTTAATAGGAGTCACAGGATTTGATGCACTAGCTATCATGAGGAGGAGAAGAAGTGAGTTAAGTCAAGTATTTAGGTTGATGGCAGTACCATAATTATAACATGGAAGACTTGAGGCTGAACAGTTTGGAAGCCCTCGGACAGGAAGTTACAACTGATAAGTAGTCTAAGGAAAAAAAAAAAAAACTAGCTATACAGCTTTATTGTAAACACTTGGGGACTAGGATCAAAACAGGGCTTTCCCAGCATGGACTAAGGAAGTGAAGTAGAAGACAGGACTTCAAAGAAAGAGAGAAGGAAACAGAAACCGAGAGAGAAGCAGTAGAAAAAGTAAAGGAATTAAATAAGCCAGATTCCTACCACCTTTCTAATTCCTAATTTCATTTCTTCCCAGGTCCTGGTAAACTCTCTTTACCAGGACGGTTTCTGCTCTTGCTCAAGCTAACTGGTGTCGGCCTCTCAGAAGATAAGACCCTGGTTAAAATCCTCTGGTTTTGCTGGGCCTGATAGCACTTGGTGACTGAGATGGGAGCAACACTGGAGCTTAAGGGCTTGAAACCCACTTCAGTGACACAGCACCTTAAAAATTATTGTAAGTGTACCTTTTAAAAATATTTTATTTAGCCGGGTGTGGTGGCACATGCCTTTAATCCCAGCACTCAGGGAGGCAGAGGCAGGTAAATCTCTGTGAGTCGGACGGAGGCCAGACAGGTCCAGGACAGCCAAAGCTACACAGAGAAATCCTGTATCAAAAAAAAACTTTTTGAAATTTTTAATTTCAAAATTTGTATGTGTGTTTGAAAGGGGGGGCATTTGTACACATGAGCACAATGCTGGCAGGGGTCAGAAGTTAATCTCAGATCCCCTGGGCCATCCAAGTGGGCGGTAGGAACCAAACTCAGGTCCTCTTCGAGAGCAGTTATGTGCTCCTAACCACAGAGCCATCTCTCCAGCCCACATTACCTTTATCTTCATACACATATTTTCCTTGCATTGCTCTGCTGTTCTCTGCAATTAAATGCAGGCATTGCTTACATGGTATGTTATGATTTGGATATGATAATGAATATGAGTATAATGTGACTGACTACTTTTGGATACAGTTTGCATTTTATGAGGAGTTTTGAAAAACAGGGTCTCACTGTGTAGCCCAAGATGGCTGGCACACACATCCTTCTGACTCAGTCTCCAAGTACTGGGATTATAGGCATGTACTGCCAGGTCTGGTTTTATATAAACCTGGGGTGGGGGTGGGGTTTATTGGTAGCAGTGCAAGCAGGTCTGTTGTTATGGTCCAAAGGAGGATGCAGTATCTTGTGAGGAAGAGGGAACATCTGGGAACCAGCTGTTCTTAATTAAGCAGTAGTATATTCTGAGTTCTCTGACCCCATAAACCAGGTTCCTTGCTAGCAATGTCACCTAGTCTACCGCTGTTGAGGCTATATGCTGGTCTTAGGACGCTGTGGCTTTTCTGGCTAACTCAGCTAACCTGAGCTCCTGTTGGCCAGTCTGAAACCAGGCTGTGATTGCCGTGACAATGTGTTAAGGCCTGACGGTATCAAAGGGAAACCTGGGGAAGCATAAGAAAACAAGGTCAAAGCCGCTTCGTAGCATGTTGCTGCCCTGTTTTCTGACACAGCAGAAACCAATAAAAAGGAACGAGGTCCTGTAGGAGGGTGTTTTTATGCACTGTGTATTCAGATGCTGATTCCAGTACCCAGAGATCTGGTTACAATCCTGTTGTTGACATTGTCACTATTTTTAAAATTTATTTTATTATTTTATGTGTATGAGTGTTTTACCTTTGTGTGTGCCCGTGAACCACGTGTGCTTGAGGAGGTGATGAGCCTCCATGTGGGTGCTGGGACTCAAACTTGGGTCCTTTACAGCAGCATCAATGGCTCTTAACCCTTGAGACAACTCTCCAGCCCCTGGCATTGTCATCATTACGAGGCATCTCCTGTCTTGGTATGTTGTAAACATTGTTCTCCATCACCTTCTGATTGGTTAATAAAGAGGTGAACAGCCAATAGCTGGGCAGGAGAGTTAGGGCAGAGCTTTCAGTCACTGGCAGAGGGTCTCAGGTGAGGACCATAAAGAGGGAGTCACCATGAGGAAACAGATGGAGAGAAGAGCCAAGACAAGACCAAAATGGCAGGTATCGGGGCTACATGGCTGGGAAGTAGGCCAGACCAGCATAGTCAGATTAGGGTGGCTCAGTATCTGCCCAGCTATAATGACTGAAGCTTTTAATAAATATTAGAGGTCTCCATGTCATAATTCAGAGCAAGGGAGGGCATAGCCAAACAAAACAAAACAAAAAAACCTTGCATTTTATAAGGTTCTTACTAGTACAGAGAATATATACATTTAATTAATTGCTTTTGCTTTTCTCCATCCCACATCACATGGCTGTGACTGTCATGGGCCTCGCTATGCCATACCTTTAGTCCTCCAAACTGTGGAAAGAGTGACACATCCGGGGGTTAAGGCATGGGCCCTAGCATCTGAATCCCTGATTTTGAAATCTGTGTACTCCCCATTCTGCATGGCATTAGGCAGATTTCTTAACCTGTCTCTTAGTTTTCCCATGTATAAAATTACAGGTCATTTCTGGTAAACAACTCATAAGGTTGTTATGTAAAGAACGTCTTAGAGCAGCAACTGAGACAAACATTCAGAAAAGCAAACGATAATTATTCTATTACCTGAATCTTCTGGTCTTGGCCTTCACTAGTTTAAATGAAACGACTTGAATTTTCTCCCTAAGTATAAAATTAAGTATACTGACAACTCTTTCAGCCTGTCCTTCCCACAAGACTGTCGTTACTACACTGTGGCATTGAAGTTCAATAATTAATATAATCTAACAAACAGTGCAATAACAAAAGCTATAACTGGGCCAGCGACATGGCTCGGGGGGGTCATTTGATCCCTAAATCCTGTGGTGGAAGAAGAGAAGAACTTGTAGAAGTTGTCCTGGGACATTCATACACACACATGCTGTGGCACATGAGTGCCTCGCCTTCTCATACATGCATCATATACATACAATAATATTAAATAAAAATATAAACCTATAACTCACATTATTAGTACACCTTCAAAGCAAAATATCAGGAAGTAGGTAATATATAAGGAACAGAAGCTTATTTCTGGCTAGGAAGTCCAAGGATCACAGGTATGGCAGAAAGGATAAGTCTAAAAGTACAATTTCATTCATGTAATTTGTTTTTTGGTCGTGCTGAGGATTGAACTCGGGACCTTAGGCATGCTAGGAGAACACTTCAGTACTGAGCCATATTCCAGCTTCTAAAAGCCCTACAGTGACTGCGTTTTCTAGGTGTGCCGGTGTAACCCCAGCATTTGGGAGAGGGTGGTAGGAGGATCAGACATTCAGAGTCATTCTCAGCTCTGTAAGCAGTTCCAAGTCATTCTAGGCTACATGAGAACCCATTTCAAAGGGGGGAAAATGGGGCTAGGAAGATGGCTGAGTAGGTAAACTGCTGATTGTACAAACATGAGGACCCGAGTTCAAATCCTCAGCACCTGCTTAGAAAAGCCAGGCGCAGCATGCCATGCCTGTGATTCTAATGCTCAGGAGGAGGAGGCGGGAAGAGCGCAGGCCTGCTGGCCCCGTGAATGGGAATCAATGAACTCCGGGTTCAGTGAGATCCCTGGTGTCCGAAAAGAAGGGGGTGATTGAAGAAGGCAGCTAAAGCTAGCCGCCAACCTCCACAGGTGTGCGCCTGTACTAACACAGATGCGCGCGCACACACGCACACCTTCGAAAGAAGAGGGGGACATCAGGGAAAATAGAAATGACGGCATTGTCAGGCCCAGCGGAGCAAAGCCACTGCCCTCCCGATCAATGCACCTCCCTCTCACAGTGTTGGTCAACCTCCCAACACTGCCACACGAGAATTAAGTTTTCAACATCTGAATTTTCAGAACGCCATCAAGACATTGACACACAGTACCATTAACACAAGTAATATTTGTCAGGCACTGACCATTTACCATGTGTTCAATTATAACTGCACTATTAATATGTTATCTTTTCTAACCAGCCTTTGGGATAGGTATTTATTTATTACCCACATGGCAGTCTCCCGTTGACTGTTGATATTTAGGAAAAAGAGGAAACTAAAACACATCCGTTTGCTCTTAACTAAACAGATTTTTTTTTTTTCAATTTGGCAGAACAGTGAATTCTAGTACAGTGTTGGAATTTCTTCATTTGTTATATGTTAGGTTTTTTTTTTTTTTAAGCTGTCAGTTAAGGGAACAAAATTAGCTGTTTCAAATTAAGTTTAGCTTATGCATATACCAAAGCTCATTAGAAATTAGTAATGATTTCCTACATGTTTATACACTGCACAATTCAACATCTTAAAACAATTTGATTTAAAGTTAGACATTTAAACTATTCAACACTGTTTGCAAAGGAATCCAAGACACTTTTATATTTTTCCACAAATGTTTGAGACATATGTATCTATAAATTAGACTATCTAAAATTCTGTTAATCAAAATGCTAACACTGGTTTCATATAAAATGTCCTTTTTACCTGTTAAGAATGTTCTCTACTTCTTGAACTTCTGACACGGATTCTACTTCAGTTTCAGGAAGGATACGTGGCTGAAATTTTCTATCTTGGAAATCGTACAGCATCACAACAATAAGACTGGTCAAATGATATGGCTACCAAGGGAAAACACACACAAGAAAACTAAAGAAACAATATCCAAGGGCTTGAGCTATACCCCAGGAGCAGAATGCTTGCCTAGCACAAATGACCATGGGTTTGACTCTCCAAGGGCGAGGGTGAACATGGATAATGGCAATGTTTTGTATTCCATTATTGTTCATAAGAGAACAAGAACATGATCATTTTTACATAGTATGGTTAGATTTAGAAATAGAGAAGGTGTTCAAAAGGAAAAAAAAAACAACAATCTAGTTTAAGAAGAAAAGCTTCTTGTAAAAGATGATTAGGGGTGTTGACAGCCAAGGTCAACATGCAAGCATTAGAAGTGGGAAAGAACATGTTTTAAAGAGGTCTCAAGACAAGGCAAACTATCATTTATAGCTAAGAGATTTTGCAGACTTTCTTAAAAGTAATAATGAGGCCAACTGATTTAAAAAGTTGTTTACTTACTATTCCGCTACTTGGGAAGATGCCGCTGTCTATTAATATACTTTCCAAAATATCTTGATCTGCAGGACAAGGGAAAAGCCTATTACCCAAGATACCAAATGTGAAAATAAAAACTTTGAATTAAAAACACTTTAATTAATGTTGTAAAATTACTTTCATATCTAAAATGTCCTTCAGCCCCTCATAAAGACATAAGTTAAACAGCAAAATGGAATATTCATGAATCCTGCTCTCTCACAGTTCAGGCTCTTTATAGACTCATAGTCAAAGCATTATTTGAATAATCAAGGCAAGTCATAAAGGAATTCTAACCTTTGTTTTATGACCTTTGAGAGACATTAAAGACAGTATAACTAATAATGTTAAACAGCAAGACTGGAGAGATGACTCAGCATTTAAGAGCACTGGCTGCTCTTTTGGAGGTCGCTGGCTCAATTTCTAGCACCCAAATGGTGGCTCATAACCAGCTGTAGCTTTATTTTGGTGCCCTCTTCTGGCCTCTGGTGGCACTGTGTGCCCATGGTACACAGTCACATATGCAGACAAACAAGCTCATCCACTAAAAAAATAAAAACTGTTAAACAACTGTTCTCTTTTCAGTGTTCGGTATTGCTGATATGTTATATTAATTATTAAGCATTATTAATATTTTGTTCTAGATTTTTGTTCTGTGCTTCTGAGTGAGGTTAGTTTCTTTTAACATCCTTGCTGGTGTTAGTTATCAGGGTTATTGCTAGCCTTATGAGTGGGAAGTGTTTTATCTCCCTCTATTATTTTATGCAACTTTTATTAGGCACAGTTTTACCTCAAGTATCTGGTAAAGCTCACTAGTGAAGGCACAGATGGGATCTTTGTAGTCTAAGACCCCAATGACAGGATCTACATAAGGGCAGCAGTCCAGGTAGCAGGGAACAGAAGAATTCCATAAGTGGGAAACAGATAAACGTATTTCAGCCCTCCCCTGGGCTCATAAGTATTTTTAATACAATTAAGCTATAAACATCATACATGTTTTACTTAGGCAAACAGAAAGTAAGGACTAGCTTTGATTTATTCATGAAAAAAAAAACTATTGATTATAATGTAGTGAATTTCAATCTTTATTTGGAAAATGAGAAAATCAAAGAAGAATAATTTTGAAGCAGAGACTATAATTCTCATAGGAAATCTTTGGGGAAACTTAAATATATATATATTACCAGCTTTGGATACAAAGTATTCTCATTTCCTTTATCAGGAAAGTGAAGTTGAGAATTTTAAATCCTTAGTACTTGCAAACCAATTCCTATCAAATTTGTAATCTCCAGGACAATTGTTTTTTGTCACAGGAAATACAGTTTCCATAACCATGAAGTACTTCTAACATGGGAGACATGTAGGCTAATGGAGTCACTCTAAGATCACGGGGGCAAGAATGAAGAAAAACACACTGTGATTTTTGCCAGTGTTACACTTATTTTCTAGAACTCTTGCACAAACAATCACCTGTGCCTGTCTTTGGCACTGCGCAGGAGGCATTAGCTTTATGTAGTTAAATTTATCTAACAGTCTCACTTTGAAATGTCAATTTAAATAATGGCTATCGTTTATTCAGTGTATTCTATGTTTGGGCAGGGGAAGAAAACTTGGCACCCATATAGATAGAACAGAAATCCATCTACAGAAGAGATAGCCACACCCTTTGACATCTCTCCTCTTAGCAAGCGATTATCTGGGTATGTCCTACCTACAGTTAGCCTTACACTCCAAGGTTAACACCCAACATGCCAGGAACGCGGCTCTGGGAATTTGAGTCTACCACTTTGGAGGCAAATTAGAAAGGAGAATTCTACTTAAATTTGACACCCCAAATTAAAGCTCTTGGCTAAGGATTGGATAATGTCGGTTGGGGTGACTGTCCTCTCCTTCTCCTTTTCTCTCCCCAGTCTCCCTTCTGCTTTCGATGCCTCGTGAACTTAAAATACAGCTTGAACACACACAAGAATGTGATGTTTTGGGGTGGGGAGTTAAAGTGTGGATTCTATTCTTCCCATTAATGGGATTCTCCCCATCCCTCTCACTCCGGTTGGGATGATGTTTGTTCTTTCTTTTTCTTTCTGAGAAGGGCCTAGCTATATAGCCCATCCTGGCTTAGAACTCTAAACCCTCCTACTCAGCAGGTGGGACCATGGCCTGTGCAACCACGCTGGCTCCTGTTCATTTTAATGGCTGCTTTACCCCTCTCTAAGGACAAGTGCAGTAAAAACGGCTGGTTTCCCTAGGAATCCCTCCTTTTCAGACTGGTGATATTGACCAGAGAATTGCACCCTCCTCTCCTCCGCCCTTCTCTCTTTTGGTTTCCTGATACGGAATCTGACTCAGGGCGGCCTTGGGACTGAGCAAAAGCCACCACGCCTGGCTTTGCTATTTTCTTATAGCGCTGACCTTCAAGACTGGTATTACTCACACTTCAGGGCACTGAAAGCCAACTCATGGGACAGATGCCGAAATGTTTCGTCCTCAGTCTTGGACCGAACCTCCAGAGGTTCATTCCCGTACGTTATTATGGCTTTGTCCGGCGACTTTTCTATTCGGATACTCTGAAAAATGTTCGCCGCCATCAAGTACACGAGGTCCGGATAGCTGGGTTTTTCTTGGACAACAGGTGAAGCTCTTCTCTTGGGTGCTACATCCTCTGACATTTCCAGGGAAGCGAGTTGGGAGATCTCCTCCACATCTTCCTGCTCAAAAAACTCCAGTTCACTTTTTTGGTCCAGCATGTTCGCCCCTGATGTTATAAACTCAAGCTTCAAGGACAGTTCAGATGGTCCAGGAGTTTGCTATCCTTGAAGTCTTGAGCATCGTCTCTGCGAAAAGAAAAGGTTTTGAGCATCGTCTCTGCGAAAAGAAAAGGTTATCTTGGTAAATCAGTTTCTGCAGCATCTCTCTTGGCGGCCCCTTTGGCATGTACTAACCCATCTGAACATCCCATACTTCCAATTGCACTCAAGGACAGGAGGGCTGGCTGGAGAACTGGCTCCAGCGTGAAGAGCAAATTTTGCCACAGCCCCTTACGAATAGACCCCCACAAGTGTGCTAAGGTCTCCATGGCCTCGCATCCTCAGCATCCAAGGGGGTAAGCGCCTTATCACCTTCTCCGTGAATCCGCCCTTATCTGGGGGGTGGGATGTTTCCCCGGGGCTCTGAGGCTGAAGACGCAGGAGCGGCTGCACTTGGGGCGCTGGAGGCGGTAACAGGCCCTCGGGAGCCCCGGGAGGTGGCAGCCGGCGGAGGCCGTTTGGTTCAAGTGCAGCCACAGCACCCGCCGGGTTCGGGCAGGGGGGACGCGCTCCGAGCCCGTGCCACCCTGTCAGCTACGCTCGGGATCACACCCTTGCTGAGGACCCTTTTAAAAGGAAGGCGAGCCCTGGGTCCTTGAGGGGACCCTTCTCGTGTCCTGCACGAGCTCAGGTGCGGCCCTCTTAGGGCAGCAGAGAGCGAGGAACTGGATCCTGGCCTCCGCTCCCAGAGGCGTTGGAGGCGCAGAAGGGCCCAGATCTCCATGGCAACCCAGAAGGGCGGGAGCTACGCTCCAGACTTCCCCAACAGGATTTGGCGGAGGTGACTCTCACCAGTTTCTCGGACTCTCGCGGCGGTGCCAACCATCCAACCCTCTTGGAAGTTCAAGCTGGGGTTCCTGGGCACTCTGCCTTGGTCTCCTTCACAACACTTAGAGAGACTTCGAAGTAGGTGGTGTCGTTCGGGTGGTTTAACTCTGCCTGGATCCATCATCAGGGATCCTGAGTCGGGGCATGGGACTCAAGGTTTGTTTGTCAGTTTGTTTTTTCCTGTAACTCTCCTAATCCCAGTGCAACTGACCTAAAGACCACGGCATGGAAAGACAGTAGTATAGTTCTTCCACCTAGAAAAGTCAAAGGACTTTTCCTTCTATAAAAAAGATTGATGATCCCTCCTGCTCCACGTGCCACTAACAATAGGGTATTTGAATCTCCCGTCCTGCTGTGCACCTGCCTGCCCTTCAGTATCTTACCTACAAAACCTGTGAGAAAGGCAAGGTCTTCTGGGAGGTGGCTCCTCTATCTTGAGTTGTTTGGTATCTTTAAGCTTGCCTACACCGTGTGTGTGTGTGTGTGTGTGTGTGTGTGTGTGTGTGTGTGTGTGTTTGCTTTCCATTGTGGTTTCCCTTTCTTCTCCTTCCTCTCCGCTTCCTCCCTCTTCCTTCTCTCCCTCAACTCCAAACTCAGATCCTGATTCCCCAGCCTCAGCCTGGAATCAAAGGCCTGCACTTCCATGAGGATTCTCTTTGGCCTGAGAAGTCTCTCCTTTTCCCTGATAAACTCCCACAAAATCTTTGAAACTCACCCTTTTCTGACATTTGCCTTTGTTAGAATGTAAATTTAGTTGCTGAGACAAAGATCCAAAATAACAGTAGGCTTAAACACAAAGGAAATTTTTCACTCAAGATCCTGTTGGCTCTGGCTTGGTAGTAGTCGCCTTTAATCCCAGCGCTTGGGAGGCAGAGGCAGGCAGATCTCTATGAGTCTATCCTGGTTTACACAGGGAGTTCCAGGCCAGCCCAGACTACATGGTGAGAGCCTGTCTTCCTCTTCCTCTTCCCCTTCTTCCCCCCAACCTTGTTGGTCTAGTGACTCTGCTGCACAAAGTTATCCTGGGCCCAGGCTCCTCCCAGGGGTCTCCTGCAAGGAATGTGTCTTTGTCAAGTTAGTGTGAAATGCCTGCCTATTTGCAGATAGTATTAAGGGGGAAAGGGAGAAAAGGAGGCACACCCATGCCTTTCAAGGACAGGACTAGAAAGATGCACACATCACCTTTGCTCGATTTCCATTCCAGAGTTAGTCACGGAGCCTGCTTAATAACAAAGGTGGGAAATGTGGTCAACTAAAACTCAAGAGCACTATTACTGTAAGGGAAGAAGAGAACTGATAATGACAGAAAAGTATTTTTTTTTTTGTTACATACAAACCTCTCATCCCTGACTTGAATAAGTATATATTAAATCTTACTTTGTGTACAGCACTGAAAACAAAAAGTAAATATTCAGACATAACTAGGGACCTGCCTTCAAGAAAATGATTGGGGGAGGCATACATATTGGGACACCCTTCAATTTTTATTATAAACATTTGTGCACCTACCTATATTGACCTTATTTCCTCTTTCTAGATACAAAGCACACACTCTAAAATAGTTTTGTGCTATATCTATTTTCATTTTATTACACGTCTTTTTTTTTTTTTCTAATATGCTAGCAAAATGCTCCAGTCACAGAGATTACAAATATGGAAGGTATCTTGGGGTCATGGGATATTTTATTGTGTGTCACACAGTGCATGGTATAATCTGTAGGGAATGTGAGACAATAGACAGCTATAAACTTTTAAGTATTGTCTTTCAGAATATATTTTTTTGATTATTACAGTTTGTTTACTTTGTATCCCAACTGTTGCCCCCTCCCTCAGCTCAGCTTCCAAGTGGGTGATCTAGTAATGGGAATAAGGGCTGTCTCTGACATGAACTCAATGGCTGGCTCTCTGATCACCTCCCCCTGAGGTGGGGTAGCCTTGCCAGGACACAGAGGAAGACAATGCAGCCGGTCCTGATGAGACCCGATAGGCTACGGTCAGTGGGAAGGGGAGGAGGACCTCCCCTAACAGAATATAATTTGAGGAACTTCTTTTTTTATTCAGTAGTTCAATGTGTGACACTTTGCTATACTGAAAGCGAGACTGAGTAAGAAAAGCCATGCTCCTAAGTGGAACTTAGGCATGTAGCTGTGTTGGTAAAGGCATGGTTGCTAGTTATTTTAATCCTGTGTGCAAATGGTTATAATCCTGCTTCCTTAGCTCTTCTGGGTTATGGCCTCATTGTGGACTTGCTGTGCTGGAAGTGAAGGTTACAGAAAAACATATTAAATTTCAGTGTACAGTGCAAACAAGTAACCATAGTGATAAATCTATGGATTCAGTTGTTGCAAAAGTTGAGTAATAAAAATAGGTAGTCTTTGTCTAAGTCGCACTCTGTAACATGATCAGAACATTAGGGTGGAGGTGGTATAGAATTCAAAGTTAGATACCTAGGGCTTTCTGCCTGCCAAAGGAACCTAGAGAATGGTTTCCCCTAGGAGGTAGAATAGTTGAAATATTTATAAATGAACATTTCTTACTTTTGACTTAGAATACTAGTATAATTTAGCCATGTAATATTTGCATACTTGCTTAAATTTAACCTGGACATAGAAAACTATGTCCAGGAGCTGGAGAGATGGCTCCACAGTTAAGAGCCCTAGCTAGTCTTCCAGAGGACACAAGTTCAATTCCCACCACCCACATGGCAGCTCACAACTGTCTGTAACTCCAGTTCCAGGGGATCCGACACCCTCACACAGAATTACTTATAGGCAAAACATAGATGCACATAAGATAAATAAACCTAAAAAATTTTTTTAAAAAAGAAAACTATGTCCAGTTCCGCTGATGCTTATTATAGAAATGAAGAAAAAAGATGCAAAGGGTTTAGATGGGGAATTTTAAACATTGGGCCTCAATTTACTATTGATTCTTGAAGATAGTATTATTCCTTTTTTTTCCCCCCAATATAATATTTTATTATTTGGGAATTTCACATAATGTACCCTGATCACATTCATTTTCCAGTCTTTCCAGGTCTGCCCCTCGACCTTTATGACCTCCTCCCCACAAAGGAAGAGGGAGGAGGGGCTGGAGAGATGGCTCAGAGGTTAAGAGCACTGGCTGTTCTTCCAAAGGTCCTGAGTTCAATTGCAACCACATGGTGGCTCATAACCATCCATAATGAGGTCTAATGCCCTCTTCTGGCGTGCAGGTGTACGTGCAGGCAGAATATTATATACATAACAAATCTTTTTTAAAAATGGAGGAGGAAGAGACAAGTCAAATTTGTGTTGCTCGTGTTTTCACTGGAACATGGTCAAACTCCCAGTGGCCAGCCACTAAAAAAAAAAAACCTGATTTCTTCCCCACAGGTACCCTGCCAGAAGCCAATGATTGTGAAAAGCTACACTTCAGCAACCTTATCACAATTTTTAAGAGTTCTCTTTGATGGCTTTCCTGTCTAGGCAGTTACTTTTGGGGGGGGAGTGGATGTAGGGGTGGTCACAGAAGCCTTTTATGTCTCCTGTCATCTGTGAGTCTGCAGTCATTGACACCACTGCAAAGCACTATTGGCCTGTTTTTTGGGGGGAGGGTTGTTTTGGGACAGGGTCTTACTATGTAGCTTCAGCTGGGCTGGATGGAACTCAGAGCGGTCCATCTGACCCTGCCTCCTGAGTGCTGAGGATAAAGGTTTGTGCACCTCGCTCAACACGGGGCTGATTTTTTTTTTTTCACACATCCAACAGATAGTTTTTAAAGGCATGGATTAAGAGGAAGAAATAACATGGAACACAGAAGTATATAGTATATGGTAAATACCAATAAATTGTGTGATTGTGTGATTGTGTTATAACCAAAACAAACTTAGAGAATGCACTGTACAAAACCCAATAGATTCAGAATGAAGTGTTTCTTTAGTGAGGCTAACTGTGGCAGGTCTAAGATTCTAAGAAACTGAATCATTTCATTGGGGGGCACTGGTTGGGCATGGTTTACCCTTATCCTTTCCTTTCTTCCCTTTTGAGATGGAGTTTGATGTAGCCTAGGCTGGCCGTGATCTTGTTGTGTTGCTGAGGATGATCTTGGATTTCTACTCCTTCTGGGTCCACCCTCCCAAATGCTGGGATTGCAAAGTGTGTCGCCATACCCCATTGATATAAGGTTGGGTATTGAACCCAGGGCTTCATGCATGCTAGACAAAACATTCTACCAACTGAGCTCTATCTCCTGGGTATGGTTTTGGTTTTTTAAAAAATATTCTGGCACCTACATTTTATTCAATTTATGGAAAAGGTAAGATATGATATTTAAGGAAGATCCTTGCCCTGATACTCAGCATGCATAGTCTAATGGATATAGGATTCCCTTGAAAAGTGTATCTTATCATACATTGTCCTAGCATTTCAATACTCTCATAACTACAGAAAGCAAATATAAAAAGCTAAGTTACTTACGTTTCACTTGAATTTTAAGGTTAAGGACTATGTGGCTGAATGAAGAAGATGTGATGCAGAAAATGAAAACAACAACAACAACAACCGAAGATGTGATGCCCCCCCATGCACACACTGAAATGTGATCAGACCATATGAAACCCCTTCATGTGCGCCAAGACGGACAGAACCATATATTAAGCTAAGTGAGCCAAGCACAGAAAAACAAGTGCTGAATATTCTCTCTTATATTGGCAAAAAAAAAAAAAAAAAAAGGTTGATTTCTACTGGAGCAGAACAGCGATCACTAGAGGCTGAGGAGGGTTCAATAAAGAAGGAGCAGAGAGAAGTCATGTCACAGGCACCAGACAGTGAGGCAGGCAGGATGCATCTGAGATTCTCCAGTACAGTGGGTGACTGTGCTGTATAACATGCTATTATGTATTTGAGAAGAAAAAGAAGGGAGGCTAAGGCTCCAGACACAGATGATAAAAAACCCAGAAATCCTAATTACCCCGATTTGGTCATTACATATTATATACACATACTGAAACATCAGGGAAAACATTAGGATGGGAAGGGTTCCAGAGAGGGTAGAACTGAGAGAGCCGGTACGGAGGCTGCATATGAACAAAATACATTATATAAACATAAAAGAATACCACATTGTATCATTCTAGCATGTCCGTGAAAACAAAAGGTGAAAGATCACGAAGAACGATATGAAATGGAGGGAAGGCATATTTAACATTTTTACATAACTAGATAGAAAATTTCTATTCCTCCACCTCATGAAAAACTGATTAATCCAAACTAAGCACTACAAACAATAAGATTCGTTACTAAGGCCAAACTCATGTTTATTATAAACTGGATTCAGGGAGCCATCTGCTGGCAAATAGGTGTCTTTGATTTTTCTTTTTATTTATTTTTTTTAATGGACTTACTGCTCAGATTTTTGTAAAACTGCCCAGCTGCCCAATTAAATATCAGATAAATAATTTCTTCATATTTAAGGACACTAAGACACTGAGATAGTACAATATTTGTTGCACATGCCTTTACCACCTTGTTGTTTTTTTTTTTTTTTCAGTGCACTTTTTTTTTATTAGTTACATTTTATTAACTCTGTATCGCAGGTGTATCCCGCTCCCTCATTCCCTCCCAACCCCACCCTCCCTTCCTCATCTCCTCCCTGCCCCTTTCCAAATCCATTGATTGGGGAGGACCTCCTCCCTTTTCATCTGACCCTGTTTTGTTTTGTTTTTTTAATTTTTTATTAATTACACTTTATTCATTTTGTATCCCCCCATAAGCCCCTCCCTCCTCCCTTGCCGATCCCATTCTCCCTCCCCTTTCTGCATGCATGCCACTCCCCAAGTCCACTGATAGGGAGGTTCTCCTCTTCTTTCTGATCTTAGTCTATCAGTTCTCATCAAAAGTGGCTGCATTGTCCTCTACTGTGGCCTGATAAGGCTGCTCCCCCCTCAGGGGGAAGTGATCAACGAGCAGGCCAATCAGATTATGTCAGAGGCATAAAGGAGATCTACAAGTGTGGTTTCTTCTTGACCTTTCCACATTTGCACATTCCTCCTTCAACGCTAAGGTCAGACCGGGGGCTCTGCTCACGCCGAGCGCACGCTCACACTCACAGCCCTGACCTTCACCAATACACAGCTCTATCCTTCCAGTACCTGGAAATTCCTGTGTGCAGAAGAAAACAAGCAAGCAAGCAAACAAACACAACACTTTGAGAGCGTGACTTACCATGAGGAAGCACGTTAATGGAAGCAGAGGCTGAGGGAGAGTTGACGGCAGGTCTCAGCGCCTCAGCTTCATTTTGGTTTCTAATTCCGCATTAGAGGTCAGAGTACCTGTTAAGTAACCTAAAAAAAAAAAAAAGTCCTAATCATGTTCATAGTAAAAGTTAGACATACGAGGGGGCAACAGCTTCTATTCAAAGGCGCCCAGGGCAAAATGTGTAGTTGAACAGAGCAGGAATGAATGCCTCCTGGTGGAAAACACACATTGTCAGCAACTACGACTTCTCAGAAGAAGATGGGAAGGACCTGGGACTGGGTTCAGGCCAGGGGCTTGTCCAAAGATTCGTGAGCTGCTCTGGATTAAATGTTCTCAGAAAGCAAAGGCAATCTAGGACTATGTCTCATTATTATATCAAGGAAGGCTGGGGTGAGGCTGAAGTTTTGAAGGGAGAGAATCAGCAGAGACTCTAATGGCTCAGAGTGGATTTAGCTGGAACCACATAGGCTGACCTTGTCTGAGCTTAGATGACATTGTGAAATGGTTTGTTTGTCTGCTTGCTTGCTTGCTCTTTCACTACCTTGTGACTTCACGGTGACCTTGACTGGTATCAACACTCTGTGAGATTCTGTTCAATGGCAGATTTATGGCTGTTTGTACCAAGCCAACTCCTGAGCACCCTCTTAAGTTAGCTGTACATTTAGAAGGCCAGACTCTGTATCAAGGCCTGCCAGTTTCTTCCTTAGAAAGCCACTCTTTGGCTTTTAGTGGAATCTACTGGATAAATCCAGATCGTAACTCAATGTTTGATGATATTTTTAATTATTATTATTTTAGGCAGCGGTCTTACAGAGGACAGAGAACGTAGCTCACTTTGTATCCCTGTTACCGAGAAATAGTTACCCAGGATTACCGAGACAAGCTGTGTCCTCTGCAGCCCACCACTGTAATTCTGCTTCTCATTTCCCTGTGTTCTAACTGCTGCATAAAAGCCATTCTAAAGGGAAATTTTACTTGGTGCTCTCTCAGATTTCCTGGGGCTGGCAAGATGGCTCAGTAGGAAAAGGTTCCTGCCACCAAGCGCGACCACCTGAGTTTGATCCCTGGTACCCACAGGGAGGAGAGAACTGACTCAGATAACTTGTTCTCTAACCTCCACACTCATGCTGTGGCGTGGGCACGCACACACTCACACACACACTCTTCAGTAAATGTAATAGAATGTCAGAGGCGTCATGTACAAACACATAGTATCTCTCATGCAAACCTTTTGAAAACTGTGCTTCCCTGCACAACCCGCAGAGTCAGTTCTCCCCTCATTTTTATGTGGGTTCTGGGGGATGAACTCAGGTCACCAGGCCTAGGAAACAAACGCCCTTACCCACAGAGCCTTCTCGCCAGACCCTTAAAATCTTCATAATTTAAATTTTACCTGTCCACAGAATCGTCTCCCCCTAGCTCTCTAAAAAAAGATTTATAAGGGGTGTGAAATTGTCAGAATTAAAATCAAGACAAGAGCTAGTGACGTGGCTCAGCATGTAGAAAGGTACATGATGCCAACCAAACTTGCTGGCCCTGAGTCCAGTCCCTGGGGTCCACAGGGTAGAAGGAAAGAACGACTCCAGCCAGTCGTCCTATGAGCTCCCCGTGTGCCAGGTCACACGTGTGCAAGCGTCCAAGCGTGCATGTGCATAAACAAATCAACGGCAGTTTAAAAAGCAAGATAAATTGCTTACGACACACATTAACCTTAGGAAAAAAGATAAAGGGAACATTATGAATATTAGAACAAATCTGCTGGTGTTTCTAATATTTTATCAAATTTTATTAATTTTATAACCGTATTAAGGTTCATTAAACCTTTATCATTCGTGAAAGAAGGTGAAAAGCATTCTGCTAGCTCACCTACTGAGGTCAGCATTCTGCTCGGCTCCATGGGGCTAATACGAGATTTAAATGACAAATTTCAGTTGTGATCCGGCTGAGCAAGCAAGGCTAACGCAGCCCGAATCAGCTAGGGAGCAACTAGCCAACTATTTGAGAAGCAGATAATGTGCCCAGACCCAGAGAATTGCCTTCCTTTGATAGTCACTTAGCCTAAACTGCTCTCTCTGTGAGTCTCTCCTTACAAAAGTCAGTGTGAGGAAGTTCCACCGAGGGCCAGACACCATCCACTCAACGGGTATGAAGCGAGTACCCACTGTGAACAGACATCTGAATTCGAATCATTTAAGTCACTACAAAAAAAAAGAGCGAAAATAAAGTTCAGCAATGTGTAGAGTGCATTCTGGGAAGGAAATTACAGGAAGGGATTTCACTAATCTACTAAGCCAGTAAGCAGCTCCTTCTCACTATTGAACTTCCCTAGCTCTGTCTATTCTGTGATAATCACATTAACAATTGGGAAGGAAAACCAGGGCATTGGGGATTTGTGGTTAAAAGACACCACGAGTGCTTCTTGATAGGCTCACAGAAGCACATTTTTTTATTTTATATTTTTTATTTTTAAGACATCCAAAAGGACTGGCGTGGATTTCTAAAACAGATTTATTGCTATTTTTCAGTGGAGCAGACATCATGAGATTAGCTGCTGTTTAGCCTCATCATTAATTACTTCCTCAGGAAAAAAAAAAACAAAACAAAACTGTAGATTCAGCCAGGCGTGGTGGTGCAGGCCTATAATCCCAGCACTCAGGGAGACAGAGGCAGGCAGCTCTCTGTGAGTTTGAGACCAGCCTGGTCTACAAAGCGAGTCCAGGACTGCCGAGGTTACACAGAGAAACCCTGTCTTGAAGAAAAAGAGAAAAGCCTTGTGGATTTTGGGTGCGCTATCCTCAGAGGCCAACATGCCATTACTGTTAGCTGAGTGACTCTGGGAAAGCCTTTTAGTCTCTGCTTTAATTTCATCATCCATTTCAAGCTGAACTTAGAGGCTTATTACAATAGCAAAGAACATTTTCTGCCTCGCTGAGTTATCTGTTCTGGGTTTTAAGTAAAGTAACAAAGCTCCCTTTGCATTGTATAATAGTCTCCCATCGGCATTAAAAATACGGTGTTTGAGAAAAAGAGTAATTGTTTGGCTTTTTTCCCAGTTAAAATTCACAAAACAAGCATCAAGTTTTGGCAACGATAGGTGTGTCAATCCTGTCAGATAATGACAATTATTCTTATACTACTATTTTTATCACATATTTCTGAACGGGCCTTAAAATGTTAGATAAAAAATAGATTTTGTGTAGAGACAATGTGCTACTGTAAGACATGTTCTTGAATATTCTTTGAGATATATTCTCAGTTCCTTGAGACCAGAGTGGAAGGAACTCAGGCTTGGAGAGCAGGGAAGGTTTGGGGGCTAGAAGGCAAAGATTTGAAGAACCAGTCATAGCAGCCATGGAAGGTTCTTCAAGATGAACCTAGAGGCTTTGCTTATTGCGATAGAAAGAAACATTCATTCAATTGGAAATGCTATGACTTGACCAGAACAATAAACGAGAAACTGAGAAATGTAAAATTTCATATGAAAGTCAAATTATATATAGTTGATTTATTAAAAACTGTATTCCAACTTAGGGCCAGGATCCTTGGATGAGCAGGCATCCTTTCAAAGTTAAGGAAAATAGGTATAAGAAGGTCTGAAAATTTCTATAAGTTTGTCTGCATTCTTGTTTTAAAAGTTAGTAGTAGTGGAATTACTTACCATTTCCTTGCCGAAGGAAATCTCAGTAAGGAATTACTTTCCAGGGTGAGGTAAATCCCATAACAACAGAAAGTAAACTACAAGTTGTCAAGGGCTAGTGAGAGGGTGTGATTACTCATAACTAATAGATTACTCATAACTAATAGGGTTTGTTGATTTATGTCATGGGGATGGGATGGTGGACAAATAGATTCTGCCCCTGAATTCAGGGCGATTAGTGTCCACAAGGTATGCAGACAGGAACAACCATCGTTCCAGTCCAGTTTGTTCAATGTGATGGGTGAAAAGGAAGGAGCTAGGTCTGCAACATTTTCAGAGAATGACTATTAAGAACGAGTAAGTCAGTAGGAGAAAGGGGACTAGAGGAAATCAATTATGGTGCTCCTGGCAAAGCGAACAGTGGGTTCAGTGGCCCTGAAATGAAACAGCCTGTGTTATGTTTAGAATTCGGGGCATGGGGGTGGGGGTGGGAATAGAGTCAGAAGGTGAGATGAGGAGTCGGATCACACGTGTGACAGTAGGAACTGTCCAGAGGGTCTCAGGAGGCAAGTGACGTGATCCGATTTGAGTTTCTGAAGAACAGAGACCGGATTAGAGTGAAAGGAGTCCAGGGGCAGGAAAGATAGTTAGGACACAAGGGAAGGTGATCTTGGTGTCACTGCGTGCCTTAAACAGGGCGGTGGCACTGAAATAGGTAGGCCAGGGAATAGATGTGTCAAAAGTTGAATCGGCAGGACCTAGAAAGAAGCTGGAGTAAGGTGTTAGAGAAAAGCCTGGGATCGTTACACATTTCCGCCAGAGCTGCGTGGGTCATTCATTATCTTGGGGAGGAGGTCCTGGAGATTTCGGTTGTAGACATACTAGGCCTGTGGTGCCTCTGGAAACATCTCATCGGATACGGCAATGAGGCAATGAGTAGTCCGTGTTACAGCACAGAAACTCAACCTGGAGCCATAGACACATGAGTCACTGCTTAGAGTATGGTGGATCTGAAATGTTCTTCAAAGCCCTTGTGTTAAGAGTTTAGTCCTGGGCTGGAGAGATGGCTCCATGGTTAAGAGCACTGGCTGTTCTTCCAGAGGTCCTGAGTTCAATTCCCAGACCCCACATGGTGGCCTACAATCATCTGTAATGGGATCTGATTCTCCTTCTGCTATACATGAAGACAGAGCACTCCTATACATAAAATACATGAATAAATAAATCTTAAAAAAAAAAAGAGTTTAGTCCTCAGCCCATGATGCTATTGAGAAATAGCAGAACCTTTAAACAGTAGGACTTAGCTAGGAATGGTGGCACATGCTTGTAATTCCAGCACTCAGGGAGGCAGAGGCAGGCAGATCTCTGTGAGTTCAAGGCCAGCCTGGTCTACAAAAGTGAGTCCAGGAAAGCCATGGCTACACGGAGAAACCCTGTCTCAAAAAAAAAAAAAAAAAAAAAAAAAAAAAAAAAA